CATCGTCTTTATATCTCCCACCCACCCCCATTTTCGATAAATTATTTTTGACCTGTATTTGTCTCTACTTTATGTTCATAGAATGAAAACGTATCTTACATATATCACTCTTCTATAGATTGTTTTCATTCATATAAGCCATTGTCCATTGTTCAACTATATTCTACATTTTAAAGTTTTCAGTACATTTTGATACTTCTGTTAATCTGGTAATAAATTTTTACTTTAAGCTACTATGTATAACTGTAAATACAATTGTACAGTTTTAATAAACCACATCGTCAAAAAATAGAAATTCCTTTGCCTAACAGTCTTTATCATATTGTTTAGATGCTACACTGAGCTTACGTAAATCGTCATTGTACAATTGTCCTATTCTTGAATGGTTTCTTACAGAAGTATAAGTCCATGAAGATGTCAAAGATGGGACTCTCACAGTTAGACCTTGACGTTGATGCTATTTAACCAGCATCGAATGGTTTATTTGACAAAGTTTAATTAATAACACACATTGAGATAAAGCAACCTTTGAAAATAACATTTTATTTTTGTCTTTTGATGTAATATATCATTTTAAATCTCTTTTATTACAGTTTGTTGTATAATAGTTATTGTTTCATATTTAAAATATCTGCCAACATCTAACACATAACAATATTTCTATCCCAATATCTCTCACGTTACTTCCGTTGTACCTCATTTACTTGACTATATAAGTTAAAAATTAATAATTAACAATTTTTTTCGCAAAATACTGAATGTCAGTTTACCGGATACCATCAGTTACAGCCTACTGTGTAAGAGAACAAACCAGTTCCTAACTAAAAAAGAAATTAGAGAAAGATTTTGGAAGTGGATAAAACACACATTAAGGAAATCAACAAACTGCATCACGAGGCAAGCCCTAACTTGAAATCACGAAAAAAACCGTAAAGAACAAGGCCAAAGAACACACTGTGTCTGGGATTAGATGAATAGCAACTGGAAAGGATTTCTCAGGACAGAGTTGGATGGAGAATGCTGATGAGCGCCCTATGCTCATTGATCAGGAGTAACAGGTATAAGTAAGTAAGTAAGTATTTGTTAATCTGCTGTCAGTATACTGTGATAATTTACTGATATCCTCAATGTTTTGAAACTTTCAGTATTTTTAAAAGTATTATAATTTATAGAAATAAATAATTAGCAAACCAATATAGTAAATCAAATCCCAGCGCAGGAAGAAATCAGGAAGAAGAGCTGGTAGTGGATAGGACACATATTGGGGAAAGTATCAAACTGAGTCACAACTCAAGCCCTCATTAGGAATCCTCAAGGCCGAAAGAGAAGAGGAAGACCAAAGAACACATTACGTCGAAAAATGGAGACAGATATGAGAAGAATGAACAATAATTGGATAGAACTAGAAAGGAAGGCCTAGTAAAGAGTGGGTCGGAGAATGCTGGTCGACGACCTATTCTCCATTGGGAGTAACAGGCGTAAGTGAGTAAGTAAGCTATTATAACATAATGAAGATCATAAAATTGCTTTGGTTTTATTTTACTTACTTTTTCCAATATTCTGACTTTTTATTTAGATGATTACAAATGTGATTCCAATCCAGATAGATTATTAGAAACATATACATGTAAAAACATGCCTAAAGATATTGATGATAATAATCTAGTAATGTCAATAAATAAGCTTTCTAGAAGACCAATAACGCCATTGTTTAAATAAGTCACTAGTAATGTTTTCTAAATCATTTAATGATAACGAGTTTACAGTCTTGTGGGTTAAGGTATCAGTTCCTACAGTATACAATCTAGGTTCAACTCATTTATCTATCGTTTCCAACTTTCTTATATTTATTATTAACCATAGGCGAACAATGATGATAACATAACATTGCTCTTACTTGTTTCTAAAATTTTCAAATATATGAAATGCGTTTCAATGTACAACTTTCCTAAATACTGATTAAAAGATTAAACGGATCAATGTCTCTTTAAATTGTACTCAACGTTCACTATAAGATAAGAAATACAAGGATTATTATTCTGCTTATATTTAAACAATACTATTTAAAAAGGGCTTATTCCAGTTCGAATACTTTAGTGATTATTGATTAAACATACTACTGAATTATAAACCTTTGTCTCTATTCAATTAATTTCAATCAGGGTTTTCTTTGGAAAACAACGCTGAAATTTCTTGTAAATATAGGGTGGATATTTTTATTCAAGTTTGGTGAGAATAATTCTTCACTTAAGCTGGATTCAAAGAAAGTCAAAGATGAAAAAAATGATCAGTATTAGAAGGAGAAAAGGGATGATGAAAGTTATAGTTTATTGTACGACATTAGTAATAGATTTTAGGTAAAATGGAAATCTTTAACTCTATCATTCCCTATGGGCTTTTCACTTCTTCATTAAAGAACTAGATTGTTTAAATACTGTTATTGGATTTTATATGTTATGAAGAGTAACGTTTTAGTCTGATGCTAATGCACAAATCTTCTATATTCAAGACCCAACCGGCAATTAAGTGAGAGGAATACGTTTGAGAAGGCGGTTTAAAAGAAAAAACTGAATCAAATGAGTAAGCACTCATATACATTTATATATGTGCTTCTTAGGGCCATCTTTCAACAAATAACATCCACTTGTCATTAAGGGATTTTTGATTAACATGACTTGTCCTCATTTGATTACTTTTTATTGACTAAGGGTATTATTATCAATGGGAAAGTAATTTTAAGGTAATGGAGAAAATTTGTATCTATGGTGAATGCTTTTGTTAGTGTTGAGTTCTCTGAGTTAGATGGTTTAATTCTCGAACTTTAATTATCATTCTAGACAACATCTTCAGCAACTACTTCATGTAGGAGTAAACTTTCCAGTTGTTTCACAAGTATTATATTAGTTTATTCTAATGACCAAGTTTGTAATTGGGTGTTTTCATAAGTTTTGTTCATTTCATTCAACTTTGCATTCACATCTACTTTCTTTGTTAGTTTACCTTATGCCTTGTAATTGATCAACCTCTTCCCTATAGATTCATAGATTTAGTCGATGTCAGTGTATGTATGTGTTGATTGTTAACTAATCTGAACGACGTGTTGTAGTAATCCTCTGACATTCTTAAAGTTCTCCAGATCCAAATGTTCGACGTGTTTCTACTTGGATTCATTTATTTTGATTGACTGCATGTATTGATATCCATAGTAGCATACCTTATTTCTTCACTACTAATCTATTTTAAAGTATTTACTTTGAAAATAAACTTTCATATCAGTAGAAAGAAACCCAATTAAAACATAAAAGCTTAATTGACTTGAGATTTAAAAAAAAGAAATACACAAGTGATTACCATTGCAATATCATAAAAGCGATTGGTTTCATTTGTTTTTTTAGTGTTCTGTTCTAACAATTATTATTAATAAACAAATAAGTACTACATATGAACAATTACATACAAACCTTAATTTGTTTACTTTCATTATATTTAAAATTGATTTACATATAGAAGGAAATTCAAATGTTGAATAAGTTCATGACTTTCATAATACATTGAGAGTAAATCTTTATAGAATGTTAATACATATTGTATCTGTTACATATTAAGAAATATTTGAAAGTTGAACACACGAATCAATCTAAGCTAGACCACTATTGGAAACCTAGAAGCAACGGATGGCTATTTTGTCCACAACCGAGCACGTTGGACTCGAAACTAGAACCTTTAGCCTTGAGCACGAATGCTTAACTGCTAGACTACTGAGCCGATATTCAACGGTGTTCATGTTTAACTTCAATCGATTCGTGATCTTGCACAACCCCTCATCCATTGTCTGAGGTAGATACCTGTTGCTACCCGATACAGATTGCACGCCACAGGTCACTGTATATCACTAGAACTCCAGGAAATCCACCTTGACGCTAGATACTAGTGAGCACATGATTATTATCAGAATGAGGATTTTTAAAGATTAACAGTTGAGTTCACTTGTTGATCTAAGCTAAATCACCAATGAAAAGCTGAATTTACTGTTAAAAAACTACAATTTCCACAGCTATTCAAAGATTAGTTTACAGTGATATTAAATTTAAAAGTGGATTATTATCCATTCCAAAAGTAGTATTTGCTGACAAAATGAAAGTAAATATAGATATCTTATTTAGACCATATCATTTTATCTCAGTAGTTAGTTTCAGCTGACTAATTTTATTTGTTATACCATTTGTATACACAATCTAACCATTAAATACGCAAAACATTTTAGCGATTGACATAACTAAAAACGTTCAAAGACTATCTCTTATATGGTGGTTCTCAAGTGTATTATGAATAGTATGAGTTATGTACAATTAGATTCAATAGTAATTATCAAGTTTCTGGTTCATAACTCAAGGAGTATGAAGGATAACTCTTGGTATATCTCAAAATTAGTTCGAGAATTTATAGGGATACTTAAAACAATGAAAACAAAATTATTCGAGTTTTTTAAAGAAAATATATATGATTTGTGGACGAGAATTATAATTATTGTTTGTTTGCTTAGTCAGACATGTAGATAGTCTGATAGATGCCAGATCAGTAATATATTCCCCTATCTTTATTATTATTATTGATTGAATATTCATTGTTGTTGGATTGTGTCAGGTTTTGGTGTGGAAATATATTTACGTTATAATCAAGCTGAGTTGTGTTGAAGTCCTTTAGGATAGACACTGGGAGGGAATCTAGTGTAGATATTCGTCTAAGGTAAATTAACGTCCCATACGTGTAATCATGGGAAACCAAATGTATTTGTATTTGTGTTTAAAATCAGATTCAATTAAACATCATCATATCAATACATAATCTGTACTCCAGAACAGCATTCTAATTTATGGAATTACATTTGATTGATCATTGGGTGGTGATCGATGTCATGTGTGTCAAGTTCTTCTTATTGCAGATCGAATGCTATCGATCAAGTTGCAAGGTGACCATTAATCTAGGTGACTCGACATTACGTGAAGGTAGTCAACAGGAAACCCTGGATCTATGGACTCTTCCATAACCTGTAAAAAATACATATAAATCCAACATGTCACTGTTACCCTTCATATCAGATCACAGTTGTTTTGGCATAATTAATTTAATGAAATTAATGATGAGTGACATGAACTTAATAATAATTTTAGATATTTAAAATGTTATTAATAAGCTGACAATAGTATGACATGTAAATCATTTAAAGTAATTAGAAGTTATAAGTATATAAACTTAAATATAAATTTCTTGCTAGCTATCACTAGTTAACAAGATATATTTGCAAGCTAAATGGAATCAGTTTTCACTAGTGAATGAAGGCTATTTCACATTATGCTTTAATCACAGTTGCTGACATTGAACTACCTTTGTTGGAAGTAACTCTCTATACAGATGAGATAGTCACACTAACTAATTACTAAATAGTATTCAATGGTAAGCGACAAAATAAACCAATTCTGTCAATGTCATATTGTTTTCTTCTTAATGCTGACAGAATCTTGTTTAAAATCATTTAGACTAATGTTTAAACTTTAATATGAACGATCCAATTCAATAATCAACAAGCTATGATCACTACTGTAATAGGATTGTGAAAACTGTTCTGCTCAAATTGAAAATGTCTGTTCAATCACATCTAGTGATCACCCCGCGAATTTTATTCTCTGGACCGAAACATTTTGTTCTGGAATACTAAAGCTACCTTTTTTGTTAAACATTTTTAAATATAAGGTTCAAAATAGTGCATTGTTCACCGACATTAGAACTAGGTGTTAAAAGCCTTGTGTTGGTCAGTATTCTGCATAGTGCTTGAAAACCTAAAGTTAGTGTGGAAGATTAAACTTTATTGGTTTGTCATTTCACTATGAACTGGTACCTAAGAAACTTTCGACTCAATACTTCGAGACGTCATCAGAAACGGCTAAGAATAGAAACTAGTGTTGATCATAGCTTACTATTACAGTGTACTACTTATGAAAAAAATCTCTCTTCTAACTGTATGAAATTAACATTCATTATGTCATTACTTTTAATGCATTGTATGAAATATGCTATTTTTTCTTAACTTTGTCTCTTTACATAAAGATTATATTTCTTATAACACTTTTTAGTAAGTTTCTGCTATGATGAATCTGACCCCAATTCATTGTATACAACAAAAGCCTTTAGAATTTCACACAAATCATCCTACTCTTTGTGTTCAAGAAACGTTTTTAATGTAAGTTCTTTTTATAGAATTAATCATGAATTAATCTTAGTAAGACTGTCTTTGAAAACTAAGAAACACTGAACAACTATTTCGCGCTATGATAAGACTCCTTATAAGCTAGATATATACACCACCGGATCTCGACTCAGTGATATATAAGTCAAGCTTATGAGTATGGGACATAATGTCTTAGGTTCGATCCTTTATGGTAAAGTCGTGGAATGAACCAGCTGACTGGTGCTTACAGGACTTCAGTGATAATCTTTACAAGGCCCTCTTTTTTCGGTAAATCAACAGTTCAGAAAATGTATAAAAATCTCTCAAACAATACGTGTCAAGTAAGTTAAGACAACATTACCCATAATATTGCTTGATATTTGAAATAAAACATCAGTTTTACCAAAATACCTTTGGTTTAAGTTGATTTACCTATTGAATACTCAGATATCATTTGATTCGGTTCTTGGCTTATGCTCATAAAAATTGTTTTGAATTTCCCGTTACAAATTCAACTTCCAATGTTATTGATAAAAACCTACTTCAATGTGTTCATTTAACTTTGTTTTAATAAAATGAGTTAATGACCTTTCAGTTAGTAGAAATTATGAAGGTGATAGGGACCTCCATAATCTATTCGAAAGTATTGTAAATCTCTTACTGTAGATGATGTTTTGCTATTCATGAACGATATTTCAAGTATATAGTACAAATGTTAAACTGTGATAGTCTATGGTGTATATATTAAGATATAAGTAAGAAGGAAAATACTGCTTTCTTCACCAAAAAGCAATATTTATAACAGAATTTTAGGCATATTTGTTATGAAGTATTCGGCTAAATTCCACACTTATTTATTTCAAGACAGTTACAGTTAATTTCTCGAAGGTCCTGGGTTGGAATCCTGTTAGCAGGATCGTGGATGCGCACCACTGAAGAGTCTCATGCCAAGACGAAATTCCTTTACAATGCTTCCAGGTTTTCAATGGTGGTCTAACACCAATCCATTCATGATCTTAATCAAAAATAATTTCCCGGATATTTATTAATTGAGTAATCATAAATAATCACAGACACAGATCATTTTTATTTGTATCTTTGTATTCGTCATATGAACAAGTGATAAAGCTACCAAAATTGTAAATATGAAAAGTCCAATTCTAATTTATTTATCTTAAAGTAACCTATTTGTTTAGAGAGAGATAATATAAGTTCCAGACTTTATTCTTAGTTATCTGGTTAATTCTTTTTAATCAATTCTTTATGAAAAATATTAAATATATTAGTGAAAAATATTAGAAACATGACATTCCGTTAGTATTTCATTCATAAACCAAATATATTATGCAATAAAAAAGAGATTTCATTAAAGGAACATGACTTGTAAACATTTGTGCATCAATATGCTAGTCAACTAATCACTATTCTAATATATATTGAATAGTTATATTAAGTTCCATAACGATGTCTTCGGATTGGTTTGGTTTACGTCTATGGCAATTTTCAATTACGATTAATCAAGATTATTTTAATACAATTGGGATCTGTTGCAATCTTCATAATACGGCAACTAACACATACCGCTTAAACAATAATCCCGGAACTATAGAACCTGAGAAGAATCTATGAGTTAAAAAGAAACTTGATATTTAACAAAATCGAAATGAAGTAGAACTGATCTTCACAAATAGTAACAAAACATAACCTCATGGCAGGAAAATTGGTCAACTAAAAGTGGTAGCACCTGAACATAAAACCCCAAAGGTTATTCAGAAATTAGAAAAAATGTGCTCGGATTGATTAGTACAGAAAAGAAATTAATACTCATTAACAAAAACTAGGTGATTTGAAATCTCCTTAGTTTATTATCATTTTAATGGTAAGTTCTTAATCTAATCTATCTCTCTGTGATTTCAAGAATTATTCTAGTTTTAAATAATTTGTTTTAGTTTTCCCCTTATATGTTTTTATTTTCAAAAATAACTATTTGTACTTCACTGACGTATTATTTTGTTTCATTAATTCGATTTCACATTTAGTTTCTTTGATCAATTTATCATTGAAATGTATATAGGAGTTGTGAAATGAACACCTATTTAGAATCATTATCCATAATTGTTCACTGTAGTGAGGTGGAATACATACTTTTTTAATTCTTAAATTGATAAGTTATGTAAAGATCTGGAATCACTGGACGGTCGTTTCATCCCATTGTCGGCAGCGCTCATCCACGATCTCGCCTAGCGAAATTTGAACCCATGACCTATCGGTCTCGTGCGCGAACGCTTGGCCTCTGGACCACTGAGTCGGCCGGCATCCAACAGTGTGAATTTCTAACCGCAACTAATCCACGAAAACAGTAGTGGATATCTTGTTCAATTTCATGGATCGATTAAAGTTAGGCATCAACACCATTGGATGCCGACCGCCTCAGTGATCTAATGGTTAGGCGTTCGCGCGCGAGACCGGTAGGTCCTGGGTTGGAATCTCGTGAGGCGGTATCGTGGACGCGCATTGTTGAAGAGTCTCACAATAGGATGAAACGGCCGTCAAACAGTGCTTCCAGGTTTTTCATGGTGATCTAGTTTCAAATGACTCATGATCTCAACTACTAAAATTATCATTGTTTCATTCATAATAAATAATTCCCTAAATGTTTTTTGTATATACATAAACATCAGTATTAAAATAATCGAATTTTTTTTCTCCAGGATCTCTCCAAACTACTTAAATATTAATAGTTTAACATACATAAAATAATTTTTTCAACATATTTAAGATAGTGAAGATTTATAGCTTAAGTGGATGATTTTAGTGAAGTTTTGTTCTCTGTTCTAGATAGTTTGATCGTGGAACTCTCATCGTTATTCACTCTACGACCCAATCATCCATCTAAGAGAATTAAACTTCACTAAAATCAACACATTTAAATTAAAACCCGACTAGAGCATTTTTCAGATCATTTGGAATGTGTCAATTATTAATGGGTCTATGTCATAACGAGTTAATGTTTTTGTTTTTAACAAAATATACAGTTAAGTATATAACATATACAGAATATAGTTTAAATTAACATTCAGACTTCCTTACATAAACTTAAATGAGAGTGATTCAATCTTTCAGTTAAGTACTTAAACATTAAATTCGTACAAATTGAAACTAATAAATACAATAGATTACCGAGAGAATTATAAAAGGAGTTTTATCTTTAATTCCTTAAAGAACATTCAAAATAAAACTAATTCATAGTAATGATATATTTAATTTTTAATTAGTTACATTTAATGGAAATTTATTTTAATAGTTGAGATTATGAGTCAATTAAAGCTAGACCACCATGGAAAACCTGGAAGCACTAGACAGCCATCTCGTCGTAGTATGAGACTCCTCAGTAGTGTGTTCCCATGGTCCCGCATGCTGGACACGAACCCAGTTTTGCTCGTGAACGCTTACTCTCCAAATCACTGAGCCGTTATTTAACGGTAAGACAGAAGGTCCTGTGTTCGAATCAAGCGGGCGGGATCGTGGATGCTGAGGAATTCTGCCATAGGTAGGAATAGCCATCCAGTACTTCCAAGTTTTTCATAGTTGTCTAACTTTAATCGACTCAAGAACTTATTTAACAACTACTAACACATAACAAAAATATATTAATTTACTTACTTGTTCCATTACGGTTAATCGATAACTATCAGATAAATAAGATGGTTGTATTTGAAATTCCACACTAAAATTCAACAACATTCTATAAATTGGTGATAAAGCAGTTTTTGATGTATTCCATAATAATTCACCTTTTGGTAAACGGTGTACAATAACACCAAATTTTAAATCAGGTTGAATTTCTATTGCTTTCATACGAAATTGATCCATAACAGTTTTACTAAACCATGGTAATGGCATTGGTTGTGTAATAATATTTAAACGTTTCATTGCATCTAAAAATAAACGTTTTGATTCTTGTGATTGTGGACATATTGTTATACCAGGTACTTGATCATAAACAGTATGACGACCAGAATAATCTAATTGAAATACTGTTTGATGTTTTAAATATTGCATAACCACAAGACTAATACAAACACATAATCCAATAAACATAATTGCTGTAACAATTGCCCATAATAAACGTAATGAACGTGATGGTGCATTTGCTATTTTAGCTAATGGAACTAAAGAACTTTGCGAAAAAACACTAGAGAAACATTTCATTATGGTATTATCTGTATTTTGTACTAAACACATGAGATGATTGTAAAGAGAAATTAATAATGATAATAATGAATTATTTATTATACATCATCTTTATTTTATATTGAGTATACTACCTCTTAATAATATTTAATTATTTATTTAATAAACAGATTTTATTTTTAGATTAATTTAATGAATGAATCATAAATAAATAGGATATAAATGAAATTTTATTCATTATTTAAATTAACCAATCAAATTATCGGTATATGTGGGTGTTTTCCCAATTACAAATAATTTAGCTTTAACAATAACAACAACAAAACAAACAACTTTTTTTTACTAATCATTTTGAATGTTAATTACAGATAAAATGTTGATTTTTTATTATTAAAAAGAAGAGGGGTGGGGAGTTTGTTGAGATTTTAGTAATTTTATATTTAAATTCACAAGTTCATTGAAGTTAGACTACCATGGAATTATATATTTTTTTCTGGTTAGCATCAATTGAATCACACTTGATGGAGATGCTTTGGAAGATGTAAAACCTCCATGTATCTGGGCAGCATCATTGATGAACATGGTGGATATGATACAAATGTGAAGGCACGGATCGGCAAAGCAAGAGCAGTATATATCTACAACTGAAGAATATCTGGAACTCAAAACAACTGTATGTCAAACAACACAAAAGTCAGAATTTTCAATACAAATGTCAAGACAATTCTAATGTATAGGGCGGAAACTTGGACAACTACGAAAGCCATCATCCTGAAGATACAAGTGTTGAATAATAGCTGTTTACGCAAAATACTTCGGATCCGTTGACCAGATACTATCAGCAACAACAAACCAGATTCCAACGGAGGAAGAAATCATGAATAAGCGCTGGAAGTGGATAGGACATACATTGAGGAAAACACACAACTGCATCACAACGCAAGCACTCAATTGGAATCCTTAAGGCTAAAGGAGCAGAGGAAGACCAAAGAACACACTGCGCAGAGAAATGGAGACAGACATGAGAAGAATGAACAAGAATTGGACAGAACTGGAAAGGAAGGTCCAGGACAAACGGGGTTGGAGAATTCTGGTCGGCAACCTATGTTCCACTCGGAGTAACAGGAGTTAGTAAATAAGTAAAACTACTGTAGAAAACCTCGAAGCCCTGTACGGTCGTTTCGTCCTAGTATAAGACTCCTAAGCAGTGCTCATCTAAGATTCCGAACTGGGATATCTGAAACCAGGACCTATTAGTCTCACGTGCGAACCCTTAAACTCTAGACCATCGAGCCGGCCGGCATCCAATGGTGTTAATGTCTAGCTTCAACCAAAACAATTTATGTATATTTATTGGTTTAGCTTCGTCAATCAGTCACCTTGGTAGTTGTTATTACATAAATCCCAACAGTGAAATCAGAATGTAATAAGAAGCGGCAACTGCAGTTTATTAACGGATAGCATAGATCACAAAATTACAAGAACATCGAGCAAATTTGAAGCAGAGAGGCGAATATATGTATGTAAGCAATTACATCATGTACCGATCTGAGTTAGACAACCATAGTAAACTAGCAGGCACCAGGACAGATATTTCATCCTAGTATGGGAATCTTAAGTATTGAGCATTTATAATCACACCATGAACAGAACCTGGGGCCTTTAAGACTAGCTGGAAATGCTTAAAATTCAGGCCATATTGTACTGCGTTGTAGAGTGGAATTTTATTATCTGATAAGCAAATTTTCAATTGTTAAGGTAAAATAAAAGGATCCCGATTGATAGAACGTCCAGCTTTACCATCTACATTATGATCTTTTCCGAGTTATTTTAATTGAACAGACACTTGCATATGGTAAATTTTTAATTAAGTCTGAGTCAATTAGCTTAACACTATCAACCTTAACTTTATTGATGATCCATTCATGATATCAATTTAAAATCAACAATCTCCACAACTTGATCATGCGCTCACTAGTGACTGGCTTCAAGATAAATTTTCTGGGGTTCTAGTGATAACTCGTGACAAGTGGAGTTTAACCGTATCTGTTATGCGATAGTTACTGACTAAAGACAATGGTGTGAGCAATTTCGTGTATTAGTTGAAGTTAGACATTAACGCTGCTGGATGCCGGCCGGCTCAGTGGTCTAGTTGGTTAAGCGCCAGGCGCGAGACTGATAGGTCCTGGGTTCGAATGTCGCTGAGGGAGGGATCATGGATGCGCACTGCCGAGGAGTTCCATACTAGGACGAAGCAGCCGTTCAGAGCTTCCAGGTTTTCCATGGTGATCTAGCTTCAATTGACTCATGAGTTCAACTATTAAAATTAAAAATCTCCACAAAACCCCTTCTGAAAAGTCAGAATCATTAATGTACTAAAATAAGTGCTTAATATATATATATATATAAGATCGAGGTATGTATTCACTCCTATAGACACTATGTAATGATATAACACTACTATTTCACATTTGTTGACACCGAAAAATTTTTTTTCTTTTTTTCTAATAAAAGTAGTCTAAAATCTATTTTGAAGCTAAAAAAATAAAAGAACCAATAATAATCTACTTAACACTGAATAATAACTTGTTTTTTTTAAAAAGAGACTACCTTAATAATCGAACAAAAACTTATCAATTAGTTTATTTAATTAGGGCAATTATTTTAAGGTATTAAAAGGAAAATTGGAGTTATGACGTAATGTATGATGGTGATGATGTTAGTGATAAAGGTAAAATCTGGCGGGGGGGAGGTTCTAAAAGTCTTGAGTATTGTTATTTAAACCTACGTAATTAAAGTTAAATGAGTGTTTTCCTGTTCTCTAGTCTGTAATAGTTCTTCAGATGATGTCTTAGTTTCTTTTTTAAAAAAATACTCATGATAATAAATATTTCAACTTCACTTGATATCATTTACTTATAGAAAGAGAATTGGTGAAAATTCAAAAGGGATCTTGTCACTAACTTGCTTGCATTTTTTACTTTACTTACGTCTGTTACTCCTCGTGGAGGAGCATAGGCCGACCACCAACACTCTCTATCCAACTCTGTCCTGGGCAATCCATTCCACTTATTTCAAGTTGCTATTTATCCTTTTCTTGTCTGATCCCGATTCTTGGTGCAGTGTGTTCTTTAGACTTCTACTTTTCCATTTCCCTTCAAAATTTCAAGTTAGGGCTTGCCTTGTGATGCAGTTTGATGATTTCTTCAATGTGTGTTCTATCCATTGCCAACGTCTTTTCCTAATTTCTTCTTTAGTTGGAAACTGGTTTGTTCTCTTACACAGTAGGTTGTTACTGATGGTATCCGGTGAACGGACATTCAATATCTTACGTAGACAATTGTTTGTAAATACTGGTTCCATCTTGATGATGGTTGTATTAGTTCTCCAGGTTTCAGCTCCTTACAGTAGAACTCTTTTGACATTAGTATTGAAAATTCTGATTTTGGTATTGGTTGATAGTTATTTTTGAGTTGCATACGTTGTTGAACTGTAGGAATGCTGACTTTGCTTTTCCAATCTTTGCATTTAGGTCTGCATCCGATCCTCCTCGACGATGCTACCCAGATACGTGAAACTTTCCACTTCTTTCAGAGTTCTAAATGTTAATATGGTCTACCTAAATATCAAACTTTGATTATCATTATTAATACTACATATGTAAATGTCCAATTCTGTTTATAACGTTTCTAAATTTCTTTGATCTTTGGAATTGAAGATATCAGGTTGGTCATCAGACAAATTAAAAGTAGGGAAGCAGCAGGATCTGACAATATATATCACTTATAGATAATTAAATTATCCAAATAATTTGATTAAGGCGGGATCGTGGATGCGCACTGCTAAAGAGTCCCATAGTAGGACGTGTAGTGTCGGTTATTATGTTAAGCCCATTCACCTCATTCTATCTATCGGACAGGCCAATCTACTCATTCTACTTGATTCATATTTTGACCTTGTTAATTATTCGCTTATCAATATCGTCTGTTCTTATATGATCGCATATGTTTGTACCCTTATCCCATTCATCACATCTCTGTGACTTATCTTTTTGTGGCTATAGATATTGATTAACGCTTGACTCAATTGAGTTGGCTTACCCACCATCTCCACTGCACGTCGTTTCGCTTCGCTCTATTCTATCCTCATCATATACAAAATATATGTATTCCAAAGTCCATTCTCGTTATTTGACTTATTTAATTCCGTTATTGACTAACGCGATTTAAGTCGATGATTATATACGAGGATAGGCGACATATATATTTCAATAACAATCATTCATACGATCAAATTGGAGTCAGATCCCGGGCCACTAAATTGGAGAGTCTGTCAACAAAAATTGTCCGGTCTTAATGACAAAAAAATAAAGGGCCTCACAGATGAAACGGCCGTCCAGTGCTTCCAAGTTTTCTATGACAGTCTAGCTTCAATTGACTCATAATCTCAACTATTAAGATTATTATAATATCCACAAAACCCCTTCTGATATTTAACTTCCCATTAAATCATAAGAGCTACATCAATAAACATTTGTTTGACATAGTTATTTATGTGTTATCGTTTGTTTGTTTGTTTATTTTCTTTTCACAAATAAAGGAAACAAGAATTTTTCAATGTACAAAATATATTTTTCCTTTAAAAAATAAATAAATAAACATGAATCCTTTTAACCTTTACTTGATGAAATGATCAATACATAAACAGTTATTTATTATCTACCTTTTTAATAAATGAATCACACTGTCACAATGAAGTAAACAAAAATGTCAAGAGAATAAATTCAGCTTATCATTTATTATTATTATAAGAGAGCTTGACGTTTTAAAGGTTAACGGATTTGCAGAATATTTTGTTAAAATATAAGAACGATACATGGAGTACTTCATTTGAAAATTTCTAGCATTTGTCCTTTATATTCTATATGGTTGTTCTTATTTGAAATTCTTTTCTATTTCTATTTCTATTCTTTCCAAATTGATTTTTTTAGCCTTCTGTTGTCAGGGTTTCCATTTTTGATTGATTTTACATAATACTTATGTCGATAGATA